TATTTTTTAAAATATTTTATTAAAATAATTTAAAAAAAAAAAAAAACACAGTCACACAGATTTATAATTCGATTGACATGAAATTAAAAACGCGCTAAGTATTATACAATAAATCAATTTTTTTTCCCATTTATTTTCACTCGTAAATATATTAGAAACAAAATTCATAATTTTAAGATTAAAAATTATCATTTATAAGATTTATAAGTGTATTATTTATTGCAACGTTTAATGGATACGTGATCATTCCATTTTCAAAAGGGTTGCTTAAGCTCGAATATAATACAACAATCGAAACACCTTGAATGGTATCGAAGCGAATCACCATGATCGCGAAAGAAAAAGAGTGGGATAAGTGTTTCGCTTCGCCTTTTAAATTAAAGACAAAGGGAAATGTTAACCGTACAACATTTCGGTAACACGCTAGATGAGTTTGATGTGGAAACGTTGCTTTTACGAAATACCATCACGGCCGTAGGTAAAATCCGAAAGAAGAAACTATGCTTGTATTGTGTCGGACTATGTAATCGGAACAATGTCGTTTCAAATCAAATCAAATCAAATGAAATCAAATGAAATGGTATAGTGAATCTTTATCCAGTTACTTTTCCTATTGTTCTTATTGGTCAACGAGGATCAATGTGATTTGTGAATCTGCGATAAGAATTTGTTAAGAAAATTGATGGAAGGAAAGATGGGGGTTGTGAAAGGGGAAGGGGCAAGGGGAATGGGGAATGGGAATCATCGTTTGAAACCTTCTAACATTAATTAACAGAGATGAGATCGTGTGATATCGAAATACGATAGGAATACATCCGAATTGTTTAGATACAAGAATAGATATACGTTTATTCGAACGTAACAAATAAATATCAAACGGATACGAATGTTACATCGAATGTTAAATCGAATTTGTATTCTAAGATGTCCTCGTGAAAAAAACCTTTCCGATCGTGTGTGATATTAGATTCATTGACGAAGATAAATCTTGATAGAAAATATATTAAAGTATTCATTAGAAATATTTTAATCAAATGATAACTCACCCAGTATCTCTAATTTATCATTGTTTCAAATCCTACAAATAATCTTTATTTGCTATTTTTATTGTTTCATGTAATAACTGATGGGGCCATATATATAAATAACATATGTATATATAAGTGCAAAATTTGTCAAGGTTTTCCTGTCACAAAATTATATCCCACCTACATAAAAATTTGCACGAATTTTTCATACAACCAAATATATATATATATATATATATTTGGTTGTATGAA